TCTTGGTCACCTGTAAAGACTTGGTGCAAAACACAAAGCGTGACAGCCATAGGGCTAGAAACGGGATATGTTCTACGTCCGACACAACGTCCGTCGACTTATCGTGGTAGTGATTGATGAAGGTGGTGTAGGTTGGTTTTGTGGCAGAGAATCCAATCTGATCCTCCGACATTTCCTCTGGGTCGAAGTAGTCCCCAGTGGGTCGAAGGCCAGTGATGGCGGCCATGTCGAAGAGCGTGGGAGTCAGCATTCCACAGGGAAGATGGAAGGTGAAATGGGTGTAATCCCAGAAAAGTAAGGAAGCTATCAACATTTCTGGGGAATAGTTAAGACCTGTCTTCGACAACATAACCAGGTCGAATATCCCCATGTCTTTCCAGATCGAAGCCTGGTGTTTCTCCATTTTTTCCAGCCAAGCACTATAGTCAGGAGTAAGGCTAGGGCTAGACCTAAAATCCCTAACACCTCTGTTGAAAAAACGAAGGTCGATTTTCTCCTTAGTAGGATCTTCATTATCATCTGCATCTTTCTTGGAGCATCCAACCGGGTTGAGTTTTTCAAGTACCGGAAAGTAGCTTTTAATCTTCATGGCTTCAGCAATGCTTGGGTATAGTGGGCCAGACATGGCAAAGATTTGGTTGGAATATCCAACCGGAATCATGAGGTGGCGTGAATAAGCATCACGTACAGCAATGTCCAAAGGCTCAGGGACCCTTCGTTGGCCCGTGGGAGTCACTACGGGAGCAATGGAGAAAATCCTGGGTTTGACATTTCCAGAGGGAGTGTTGGCGCTAGGAGCGTTGGAAGAACCAGATGCCATTGTTGATACTAAGGTTGAAGATGAAGCGAAAAACAGGTGGTTTGCAAAGGTTGCAAGAGTTTGTATGCAATGAGGAATATCTGAAGGCAAGGTAGCGTGAAAAAGTCCCACAATGGGTACTTAGCGCTATTTATAGTAGTTGGGGAAATCCCTAAATTCGAGGACATTTAATGCCATTTAATGTTGCAGAAGGTAGTGGGACACGTGGCGTCTCCCTGTTGTTGTAGCCGTTCTGCAGAAGTGAAAGGGTGCAGCATGCGCCCTCGTTTTTGGGAATTGTCATGATGACAATTTGTGAAAAGACGTTTGGCACACTGCACGCCGTACTGAAGTGACGTCTTAGGTACGGATGAAATGATGGCTTTTCCTTGGGATTGTCAGTGGTTGGTAGAAGACAAAAAAGGTGCACAATTTAATTTGTGATTAAGAATGAAAAGACAGGTGTCGAATGGCATTTCAAAGAATGCCTTTTTCTTTCAGAGTCGAAATAAGGCATTCTTGGGGGGCAATTTGTTGGCTCCTAAATTCGACACCCTTGTTTTATTAATATCAGCCATTAAAGCTGAAGGATGTTTTCGACCAGCTGGGTCTGTCGAAATGCCCATCGAAAGGTGGCAATGTACTTAGAGGATTTCTTCCAAGGGAGAAGTTGGTTGCCTTCGACGTCGAAGATGCTTCTCGACGAAGGTGTTCGATGGTTCAGAGTGGAACGGTTTGAAATTCAAGCGTTTGGAGGGAAAACGGTTTCCAGCGGTTACCAAGTGCAACGTGCAAAGATCTGGAGCGTCGAACGCTGAGAACGTGCCAAGTGGAGTCATCTCGAAGCAGTGTAACTGCCCGACGGTTACTTGGGATGTTTTAGTATAAATAGTAGTAGGTCACGCAGTTTTTCGCGCGTGTTCACAATTATATACAAAGTCACTCATATAGATTTGAGTACCCAGCGTGTGAGAAAGAATTGTTGAGAATGTATGTGTGAAACACCACTTTTATTAATCAAAGTCATTTACTTTCCAGAAACTTTACTTGTTTTCTTCTTTACTTTTCCTGTCGAAGCCCTTTATTTCAAGCCTTCATTTATTTTATCAAGCCCATTTCTTCATGCACTTTACTTAAAGCCTCTTTATTTTCTTGTCATTTAACCATTATCCAACTTAATCAAAACCTCAAAATCAACCATGTCTTAGGATCAATCTGATCGATCCTGCGAGTAACCAGATAAGTAACCATTTGGAGGATCAGCGGTTGTTTACCAATAACCACGGTAAACAACACTACATATCTTTCTTATCTTCTTTGTCCTTTCGATAGTTTCCTCCTCCCCTTTTCGAGGATTGAGAAGATCTATCTTCGACCTTATTCTTATGGGGATTCGACCAAGACTTCTTGCCATGAGTCTTGTCGAACTTGCCTTTGAATTTGTTGGAACCACCATCTTTTTTCCATGATTGAGCTTGTAGTGCCTGTATCGAGTCCTGAACTCCTTTTATTTCGACAATCCTCATCTCATGAGCCTCCAACGAACAAACCAAATATTCCACTTTAGTGGTTTCAAGATTGTTGGATTCTTGAATAGCTATGATAACGTGATTAAAGTGAGAGGTCAGTGTTCTCGTTACCTTCTCAACTATCATCTTATCAGTAATGCTTTCACCACAACCCTTCATGAGATGGACGGGTTTCTGAACCTTCGACACATATTCTGCAACTTTTTCATCTTCTCCCATCGACAACAACTCATATTGTCGATGCAAGGTTTGTAATTTGACAACCTTGACTTTCTCACCTCCTTCGAAACACTTTACCAGAATATCTCATGCCTCCTTCGCTGTTTCTGCATGAGAGATTCTGTCAAAGTTAGCAGCATCGACAGCCATTTAAATGCAATAAGCAGCCTTGCAATCTTTCTTCTTGACTTCATTGTGGGTTTTTTTCTATTCGTCGATTGCATTTGCAGCCAACGCATGAACATCGTCGGTAACCACTTCTCGGGTTTCATGAAAGCCAAATAAGGAGTGCATCTGTTTTTTCCATCGGATCCAATTTTTATCGTCAAGCATTGGAAGAGAATTTGGAATACCCTTATCATTAGCCATCTTCGCAGTGGTTGATTTACTTGTCCTAGAAAAAATGATCTTTGACGTGAAATTCTTGAAAACTTGATCAAGAATAATAGCCGAAAGATTTGAATACCAATTTGTTAGTGCGTGAGGCACTTTTAGTGAGGAGAGAAAGAGAGAATAATAAAGGAAATAAGGATTTGTATTATTCAAGTGTACAAATAATGATACACACTATGACTATTTATATAAAACCCTAATTGGGCTTGGGCTAACACAACTTGGATTATATTAAATATTAAATCTAAACAAATCTAATCTAATCTAATTTAATATTTCAACAACTGTTATTGCAATATCTGATTTTCTATTGTTGTCTTATTGTATTATTCTTGTTCCTTCTTTTTGAACCTTTAGCTCCTTAATACAGAGGAGAAAAAAGAGACATTGGAAGATTGCTTGTAGAAGTGTCTTTGCTAAAGAAGTTATTTTCAAGAGAGAGACGTTGGAGTTGGTATGATGGGGATCTTCATCTTCTGAATAATTGGATTATTCATTGTGTCTTTCTCAAGTAAGGCGTTCATAGGCATGAAGTAGTAGACTAAAAAAATCATATCAGTTTGCCTTGAACTTTGTGCTAAAACCTCTAGTTGACTTCATCCACAATTCAAGTCGTTAACAAGTTGTGATTGCTTTTGCACATAGTACAAATATAAGAGCTTTGTACTATGCTTCCAGCAATGCGTTTAGTTGTGTTGGAATCATTAGTGGCAAAATCAATATAGCAACTGAGTTTATATTTAAATATTAAAAGCTTCAATATGATGCTGAGGTCTTGCTTGAAACCCAGATTTTGATCTAATAGAATCTGATTTCACTTGTTTCTTCTTTACAAGCTCTTTAACTAGGTCAGAATCAAGTTAAATATAAGTTTAACGATTATGTACACTTAATCAAACATTAGTATACTTTATTGTTCTTTAAGTACTTTTGTTATCATTAAAGTCCAATGAGTGTGCAATCAATTAGTGTGAACGAATTTTGTTCCTACAATTTTGTCCCAAAAAATTTAAATATACACATTGTTAAGAGTCACATGAATTTTAATTAATAAAAGGGGTTAATAGTATGCACAATCAGTGTAAAATATTTTATACTATTAGTGCATCACAATTATTCATAGAAGATAGTTTATATGTGATTAAAGAAAAAAATTAAATACATATAAAAATTTAAAGCTAGGATTAACTTGTTGGTAAAAATTATTTTACACTTTTGGTATATATCAATTAAATTATTAATAAAATGTGAATACTTTATTTTCAATTGTATGGTATGATTGGATCGATGGAATGAGATGGAACATAATGATATAAACTTAAGTTCCACTATTTAGATTGATTAAAAGAGAATGAAATTGAGCGGAACCGAATAAAATACAATTTCATCACTTTTCATCATTTTTTATACTCTTCAATTTCATCAAAATGACAAAATCTCTATATTTTATCATGAAGTACCTAAACAATAAAATAATATTTTTATTACATTCTATTGCGCTCTATTCCTTTCACAATTTCAAACCATAACCTTAGAGAAAAAGTATTAAAACAAATGAATTTTAATTTCTAAAAGAAAGGTGAACACTCTAATACCTTTAAATTTATTTAAGTATCAATTTTTTAATCAATCAAATGGTATAAGTTTTTACCACATCACTTTTTATTTTAATTTATTTTAAAATTAATTAAAATTTTATATCAATTTACACTAAAGATAGGGTACTCAGTTACTTGGGTACCTAAGAATTAAAAAAAAAAACTCCCCGCGTTATCGCTCGCGTTTCTAAAACTGTTGCTGAGAATCCATTTTTGAAGGTGCTATTGATAATGATTTTCTGCGTTTCTAATAAATCTTTCCATTCGCTAATAATTTCTTCTTGTTCATTATGGATTCTCAACTCTCAACTCTCGATTTGTGCATCGTGTGATCTACTAGTTCTGAATCATAATTTTCCAAGCACATTATGCGAACCAAATTACAATAAAATTACAAAATCCAACATGCAAGAAAAAAATTGTAAAACAATGAATTGGAACTGCATTTCTGTGGTCTCACAATCATCTTCCATCATCCAAGACAATCAATTTACATTCTTTCAAGCTGTCATACCCGACATCTCCATGTTTGCTGGTATCACCAAGTTCATGAATGCTAGATGATGATGATTCATAAAGTAAGTACTGAGTCTCCTCTATATTTATGTCATCATCGACCGGAGATCGCTTATCCAATATCGTCATTCCTTCCAATTTCATAGCCACTTCCTTCATGCTAGGTCTTTTCTCCCCTCTTAGTCTCAAACACTGTGACGCAAGAACAGCAACCTCCTTGATCTCTTGTTCATTTCCTTCATTCCGCATACCATTTTGAATAACTTCAAATACCCTATCCTTTTTCAAATAAGATAAAAAGTGCATAGCAAGGCTTCTACTATTTTCTTGCCCACCAAAACAAAAAGGTTTCTCCCCTGTTAGCAGCTCCACAAGAACTACTCCAAAGCTATAGACATCACTTTTATCAGTCAATTGGCTTGTTTGCATATACTCTGGATCTAAGTAGCCAAAAGTTCCTTGCACTATTGTCGCTACTTCAGTTTGATCAAGTGGAACCAATTTTGAAGCTCCAAAATCAGATACTCTAGCAGTAATGTTGGTTCCATCCAAGAGAACGTTATCACTTTTGACATCACTGTGGATAATGGGTATTGTGACACCAGAATGTAGATATGACAAAGCTCCGGCTACCTCTGCTGCTATCTTAAGACGAGTTTTCCAGGTTCCATTATTCACTTGTCGTTCTTTGTGTATAAAATTAGATAGGGTACCATTGGAAACAAATTCATAAACCAAGAGAGGAACTTTTGTCTCTAAACAACACCCCAAAAGTTTGACTACATTCTTATGATTTATTTGAGACAGAACAACCACCTCATCAATGAATTGCTGAATTTGGTTTTTATTTATTTGTTTCGACTTCTTGATAGCAACAATTCTTTTGTCATCTAGAAATCCTTTGAAAACAGTACCAAAACCACCTCTGCCTACAATTAAACTCTCGTCAAAGTTTTTGGTTGCCTTCTTTAGTTCATCCTGTGTGAATATTTGAGTACTTTGAGAGGATGAATATTCTTTTCCAGACAGTTTTTGTCTCAAAAATAAACCACCATTCTGTTCAAACAGTTTCTCTTTCAATTTGATGAATTTCCTCTTATGGTATATTAAGTATGAAAATGTCCCAGCAAATAGAAGAATAAATGCTGCTCCTACTCCTGCATTCAAAAGTTTACTGGCACACTGAATTAACATGCATCTAAGGAATATACAAGAGTTAAAAAATATTGCAAAATCAGTAGAGTATGCTTAGTTGCTTACCAAGAACAATATTTGGTAAATTTTGGCACCCTCCTTTCTTTGTTCCATCTCCAGAAGACCCCCACTTTGGACAGAAACATGTGTGACTCCCATCAATGTTCTTACAATTTGCTTTGGTTTTGCATTCATGTGTGTCATTTTCACATTCATTAATGTCTGTAAACCCACATACATATAACTTGATAAGCAAGTAGCCATATTTTTAAGTAATAATATTACTAACTAACAAATACATTATATCCTCACATTTCCATGTTTTCCCTTTTTCTCTTTCCTTCAATATCTTGTTTTGATTTAGATATTCTTCACATAGAAATGTGAAATCATGCATATGCTAAAACACATACTTAATTCTTTAATTTTAGTGTTTAACACTTTTGTAATACTCAACCATGATTGAACTATTGAATTTCAGAACTTTAATCAAAGCTAGCAAGTAATAGTAAATATGAGGTGAAATAAGAAAAGCAAAAATTGCAACAAAAAATAGACCTCTGCAGCCAATGGGATCATAAGGATTTCCTTCATAGCCTGGATTGCATATGCATCGATAACCATAATCTGTGTCCTCATCATCACATTTACTATTGTTCTTGCACCCATAATTGACTCCATTATTCTTGGCAGAAGTGCAGTTATTGGCAAAGTCAATGGTCCAGTCAAAAATCACAGGTAAGTCATCAGGTAAGCCTTGAGATAAATGAGTGGAAGAAAAAGTATAGTTACCATTCTTGACAACAAATGCATAGCTACAAGATTTTGGTAATTCGTCAAAACTAGAAGCTTCTATAGTTATATTCCTCATTCGAGGGGGAATATCAACTTGGCAACACCCAATACCCGAACATGTTCCATGATCAATCGATCTTGAATCACCAAAAGATCTTGTTAAGCACCCTGTTGAGTACTTACTGCCATCATCACCGAAACTGTTAAGATAACCGTAACTGTTATCACCAACAGTTAGTAACTTGTTATCTTTGCTTGAAATGGTAAAAGACTTCGAGGTAAGCGATGGGTTATTACTATTATTCTTGCCGCAATACTTGGAGACAATTAACGACAGTTCAATTTGAGATGTGGAGATGTTTATGCTTAATACTGGTACGTTACCCTTAACAAGTCCGTCTTTATCATTGCACTTGAGCTTAATTAATCTTGGATCTGGTGAACAACTCTTGAGGTTTTTGTATATCACAAAAGGGTATGGAATTTCTACATTTCGGCAAGTGCGAATCTCAGTGCAGGTATTTGGTGGTGAATCAGCTACAAGGCCAACGATTCCTACCACCATGCTTAATGTAGTAACCATTAACACATGCTTCATCATTTTCATTCACAAACTTACACAACAGTTTTGAAACTGAAAACTGATTAATACTTGCTTGGGATTGTGACTTCAGTGTTTTTGTGTATTTTATAAAGAAAGAAAAAAACCTCTCTAGACTTAGTACTTAGGTGGTCCCTTTTGTTAAAATATATTAATATTTAAATATATTTGAAATTTTAATATTATTAAAATAATTTAAATCGGAATTGGTTGGTACTACTACTAACATTTACTGATATTGCTTGTCTATAGAAAATTAAATGTGACGCATCTTTTTGTTACGACACAATGAAAACTCTTACATGAATTGATGAAGACTTTGAATATTTTTGTTAAATTTGTTTTAAAATATATAACATTATCATGTTTTCGAGTTTTTTCTAAATCATTCATAAAAGTAATATTGTAAAAGAATATATAAATAAATGTTATAGGGGACAACGTCTCTATCTAACTTTTTAGACGTGGGCTTGTGTAATGCTGTCTATTAGCTTGACCAAGACTTAGAATAGTTTTGCCTTTATATATAAAACAAAACAAGATTGTCCTATTCAATTAATTCAGTAACGACAGCTAAGTCAGATATTTATGTATTAATTCAATTAATTCAGGTTTACTTTTCTAAAATAATAAAAACACTAAAGTCACCAAACTAATCGAAATCCTGTCCAAAATCATCGATGTTAAATCGATCAAAATCAAATCTAAAACCAGAATTGAGATCAATCCCAATTGGATTCTCTGCAGAAGCAACAGGTGGCTCAGGCAATTTCAAAACACTCGGATCTGAAAATTTTAGCCCTTCAAGTTGACAAGCAACCATGTCACTAGCTTCATCTTCAACAACACCATCAGCTTCTTCTTTAATTTCTAATTCAAATTTGGTGTTGTTGATGGAGCAACTATTGTTGATGCATGCTTCTTCTTCTTCATTCGCTTTAGCTTCCATTTCAAATTGAAGTCTTTGGATTCATAGGTTTGAAAAGCTTCTTCAGCCGTGCTGTAAGTTCCAAGCCACATTCTAGCACCTTTGAGAACACTATGATACTTCGTAGTGTTGAGAATCAAGTGTGAGGAAGAAGTCCCACATTGAATATAAAAGGGAAGATTGAGCACTTATATATGAGAGAACCCACTCATCTATCACCTTAAGGTTTTAGATGGACAAGTGGTGTGTCTCTCACAAAGATGTGTCCCAAGTAAAATGCTCTCTCCTCGGAATTGCCCCTACAGTGGTATCATGAGCCTTTGGTTTCGAGATAGGGACCGGCTTACTTGTATCGAACGATGGTACAAGTGTATGTGGAAGAGAGTCATTCCACATGAGGGGGAGCATTGTGACTCACACTTGAGGGGGAGTGTTGAGAATCAAGTGTGAGGAAGAAGTCCCACATTGATTATAAAAGGGAAGATTGAGCACTTATATATGAGAGAACCCACTCATCTATCACCTTAAAGTTTTAGATGGACAAGTGGTGTGTCTCTCGCAAAGGTGTCCCAAGTAAAATGCTCTCTCCTTGGAATTGCCCATACACGTAGAAGATTGTCTCCTTGTTAATGTCGGACCAGCAGAAGTATAAAAAACACGGTGATATATAAGGAACCAAAATCAACATAATGAACCAAAATCAATAAATATAAATAAAAAACAAACAACAACTAGCTGACCTAAATACAACACACATGAATTACATGTTTGTGGCTTCTTAATGCTTAATTTCTCACTGTTTAGACATTCAGGTTCTCAACTAATGGCTAAAACAAATAAGAAGCGCACAAGAAAGTTCATTTATTCTGATTTTTTCCCGATGATGATAGTATAATAAAATATAATGGAGTCTTTATCACAAGTGGACAATAGCTCAGTTGGTGGAAGCGCACCCCTTGTTATTTGGGGTCACCGGTTTGATTCCTCTTTGAGGGAAAATTTTGAAGTTTTGTTTGGAATTTTGATGACTTTAGTATGAATATATGACATGTCAGATGCCACATCGTATACCACACATGCAAACATAAACGACATTAGCAAGAATTAGACGGAAAGAATTTAAATGGTGTTGTTTGAAGATATAAAGGACTACTTCGGTCTTTTTAAAAATTAAGGGACTAAATTGGACCTCGAGGTAAAGTTAAGGGACCAACATTATTGAGGACAATGTCTCTATCTAACTTTTTAGACGTAGGCTTGGGTAATGATGTCTATTAGCTTGACCAAGACTTAGAATAGTTTTGCCTTTATTTATAAAATAAAACAAGATTGTCCTATTAAATTAATTCAGTTGATAATTGTTTTATACTGGAATTAAAAATGGATGAATCTGCGGAAGTTACGGTGGAACAAAGTTTTAGGTCTGATTCGGTGATGCTACTTCTTGAACCAGAGGTTTCGATAACGTCGTGTGAGATATTGGATTGAATTCTAGCATAATTGAAGGGGTAACTTATGGTCCGATAGAAATTAAGTATGAGTTTGAAGCTTGTTCGTGTGCTGCTGCCGAAATAGTGTGTGTTGTAGTCGAAGTTGTTCTAACATGAATTAGTCTATATTAGCTAGGTTTGTTAGCATGTCGAATTGAGTTTATTTGTTATGTCCAATTGTTTAAGTTAGCTTGTAATTGGTCTGTGTGTAAAAACTCATTAATTTAATATGTTAGTTTTTTTATAAATAACATACTAGTCTCTCATCATTGCATAATGCAAATCTTAATTAGGGTGATACGGTTAATTGTTATTCTATAACACTTGTAATCTTATTTCAAAGAGAAAGTAAAGAATAACATTTTATAACCAATTTCATTGTGTTCTTCTTGCTTCCCTTTTTCTTACCCTTGTGGGTTTCTTGCCGCTTAAGAAATTTGTTATACTTTGTTCTTAGCATTATTTTCAACAACACGCCGTATCTCGAATTGGAGGTGTTGATCCTGAACTGGATTTGCTAATCTTCGGTATGGTGAATCCATGGTGGGTGTCTGCATAGTTAGCACTCAGACGCTCAAGTCAATATTAGGGTTCAAGATAACTATAGTATAAATGGATATTAGAGAATGTACCTAAAACCTACCACTCTTGTATTTATACCTTGGGTCGAGCGGGGTGGGTGGAATTAGGTGTCTTTACTTTATTGGGTCTTTGGCCGACCCACACCAGTTTCCCCAGAGATTCGTCGGACACTCTAGATGTCAGGGGAGTCTTTCTAGCAGTCATGGTCGTCCTTCAGGAATAGTTGTCCATGCGTTAGTAGGCTTAGATCACTTTGGTTTTGCCAAAGAGCGGTGTGGAATAGGAGCATTAAATGCATTTCCATCATTGAAGCATTTACCCGTTCTTCTCTTGACGTGTGACTTAAAAAGGTACAGAGTGGCATGCCGATGTTTACTATGCACTCAAGTGCACTTGAGTTTGATTGTGTTTCCAAAATGAGATTTGATTGTTGATTCGCGATTACATTTAACTTTTGACCTGAATTGTCTGATTTCCTCTGCCTATATATAAGGGTAGAGGAAATTTGTGGGAATTTTTTGCAACCTTTAAGATTTAATTTCCTTTTTCTCTGAGAATGTTTTCATAAATTAACTTTCATTACACATTTAAAGCTTCAAAGCCTCGACCTTTAACCTTTTTCTTCATTTCGTTGCCTTTGACCTCACACTTTAAGGTACCTTCTTTCACTCAAACTTTTTCTTTCAAGTATTTCTTGTCTTTTTGCAAGGATGAGTCATAACCCTATTAACATAGAGAGTGATTTTGAGGAGATTGCTTCCTCTTCTTTGAGAATGGGGATGGGTTTTGATTCACATTAATCTTCTTCCATTAATGGTGGTTTTAACCCAGAAGTCTTCTCCTTAAGAGACGAATCCAAAATAAAAGGAGAGTTCAGAGGTTCTTTAACTGAAAGAGCTTATTCCAACGATTCTCTATAGGCTATATTTTTCAGATAATGCTGAAGGGGGTGAGTATCCTATAGAGGAACCGATGTCTCCCTTTGTTTTGACTAAGGCAAAAGTAAAAGTTGCCCGAAAAAAGAGGGAACATGTTGGTGACTTTGTCTGGATTTATTGAGATATGAATAATCGCGAGCCTAGTGAAGGTGAAATCACAAATCATTTGGAGTAGCGTGGAAAGTCCGATGTTGTTTCTTGGATCAAGATCGGTAATATTTTAAAGTTGATGAGATGGGCTGAAAGGGGACTAGACTGGTAGAGCTAAATATTGCCAACAAATACTATTGGGTGGCCACTGAAGTGTTAGGGACTCCTTCCACTTAGGACACTGTTGCAGCCATAACCAATGTTGATATTGTGGTCGGTAATTCGTCCGACTGGGCGATTCTCCTAGTGGATCCAGCCAAGAGAGTATGCAACTCTTTTGAGGGTTACTCAGTTGTACTCTTTGAATGCCTTTTTACCTGATTGGAAGTACGTCTTCCATTCTCGGGTTTTGAGGTGGCTGTATTGAACCACTTAAGAGTTGCCCCCTCACAACTTCATCCTAGAGCATGGGCTTATATGAAGGTGTTCCAACTCTCCGTTGAGCACAAGTCTTGGAAATATTCCCCTGAGCTCCTATTTTACCTCTTTTATATGGCCCACATTTCTTGAGATGATGCCCAGGATCAGGGATTGATCTCCCTTCGTCCCAACGTTCCTTGGTTTGATCCTTTTACCAAGTATTACGGTAATTTTTTGGAATGTTTCATGCTGGTGAAACCTTTCATCAGAGTCTCCCACCTTCACAACTACTTTGGTAAAGCGATCAATGTACACCCACAAACTCTCATTCTTTCCATGTGTGATCCCACTAAGCACGACTATGGTTGTGGGTTGGCTTTTTCGAGCACTAAAGATGGCAGTGTAGTTTTCGTATAAGTCATTTCATGTCTTTATGCTCACATTGAACATGGATTTGAACAAAATCATAGTAGACCTAGTCATAGTTAATCCAAAGAGTTTGTACTTTACGACATCATCAACATGATAGTAATCTAGATGGTCGTTTACATACTCCAT